AGGTCCTTGGAACTCTCAGTTTTCATTTTTTTTTTTTAAGTAAGTCACAAGCCCTTTTTGTTGTGGAGATTATAGCTCTTCAATGAAAAGTCAGAAGACTTAGTAGATAGATCATTATAAAGTCATAGTGATATAGCAGTCTAGCAACCGCTGATTTTAAAAAGGTCCCAGACCCCAGATGCCAGCCTCCAGGTGGTTCCTGGAGGCTTCCCCGAATCACAGCCAGTGTTCCCTCTAAGCTGAGTTTGTGTGAGCTAGCTCACCGTTTTTTAGCCCCCAGCTCACACGTTTTTGTCTCGGCTCAGGAAGGAGGGCTCCAGAGCAAACCAATTGATGCCGTAGCCACATCGCCCGCTCACCACTTTAATGCCAGTAGCTCAGAAAGTAGGATTTCTGCTCACAAGACTCCACGGCTTAGAGGGAGCATTCTCCAGGCGACAGAGATCAGTTCCCCTGGAGAAAACGGATGCTTGGGAGGGAGGGCTCTCTGGCATTGTACCCCACTGGGATCCCTGCCCTCCCCGGGCTCCATCCCCAAATCTCCAGGAGTTTCCCAACCTGGACCTGGCAACCCTGCCCCCCGCCAGTGGCCAAGGGTCCCACTGGCCTACGGCCCAGTAGCCTGGATGGGGGGAATCTGTGGTCATTCCAGAGGACTGGGGCAAGGGAAACACTGTTGTTCAAACTCTGCTCAGAAACAACCCTGAAGTATTGGGCTGCCCTTGTCGGAGACAAGAAACTGGGCTGATCCAGCAAGGCTCTTCATCTGTTCTTTCAGGATAAAGAAGAAGAAGAAGAAGAAGAGATTGGATTTCTACCCCATGCCCTTCACTACCCAAAGGTGTCTCAGAGCGGCTTACAAACTCCTTTCCCTTCCCCTCCCCTGAGAGTGAGGCGGGGCTGAGAGAGTTCTTTCCAGATCTGTTGAAAAAGAAGAAGAAGAAGAAGAAGAAGAAGAAGAAGAAGAAGAAGAAGAAGAAGAAGAAGAAGAAGAGGAGGAGGAGGAG